CTATCATCTCAATTTCCCTGTCTTAAAAAGAATATAAAATTTGCATTTCTAAAAAAAAAAAAAAAAAAAAAAAGGAAAAAAGGTGCAAAAAGAAACTACAGGGTACTCATACATTTATCTCTGTGATCTCTCTCAGCTAGCTGCAAATTAGCTATGTTTACTGTAAATGTTTCTGCTAAGCATTATTTTTTAACATTAGATCAATTACCTGGAAATCAGTATTTTTGTTTTTTACTTAACTTATTTGAATATTGATAAGTAAAGGTAATGCACAACAAAGTTTAAAGAAGTTGTCACCCTTTTACTCCTAGGCCAGGGGCCGAAGACATGAGTGAAAGGGTTAAACAGTTTACATTAAGCTGTTGTTATCTTTAACTAGAATATATCCACAAAGACTAGACAATAAACAATCCAGTGCAATTATCTCAGTACATTGGGGCACCACAGTAACAACCCATAATAATCTTACAGGAGAATTAAGGTAAGAAAACAAAGGTTTTATTTTATCCAGTGTATCCAGATTTGTTTTCCATTTGGTTTGGTTCGTTTACCAGTGGTTCCATTTTAACCAGTCAATTTGACAGGGCTGTTTGAGATTTGGGTGGGGTTTTTTCTGTAACAGGTGCTATACTATGTGTAAATACAAAGGGAAGAACATTATTCAGATCATTATTAACAATCAGATGGTGGCAATGTTTTTTGCTAGTTTCTTCTGGTAATTAATTTGCGTTTCCAGCTGTGGCTTTTGGTTGTCAAATTTCATCTCAGTTTCATACTGCTGAATGATGGACTGCAAGTGTGAAGTAAATAATCTCAGAGTTAAATTGCTCTTTTGTTATTTAGACTAACTCTTGAGTATCTTGATTAATAGTTGGGGCGATGGGAAGGTTCTTCCCGTAAGTAGACTTTTGCCTATAAATTTGTTTAAAAGCACATGAGAGGGAGGAGAAAAACCAACAAGACTAAATGCAACATCTTGGCTAAACAGCTGGGGTGGCTGATTGAAAATGATGGAAACTTGAAATTGGTCAACACTGGACAATGTGAAAATAAATTCAGCTTTTGTCACTGCAGCTACTGTATGCTTTAAAGGGCCTTATGTATTTGTCCTCATTTTGATAAAATGAAATTTCTTGCCATTAAAATGATATACTAACTTCTACCGAAAACCAGCAGTTCCCAGGATAAATATGCTAATTAACATTTAACAAGTCTTGTTTTAGTTTTAAGTAAAATTTCATTCTATTATGTGAAAAAATGCTGTTATGCATATTTTGTGGATATATTTAATTTCAGTTGACAAATAGTTGTCTAGGTACAGACTTGAAAATATATATATATAGTTTACTTGTGGATCTTAATTGTTTAATTGCAAAATAAAGATGTGCTTTAGTAATTTAAAGTTCATTATTTTTTGCAATTTTCTTGTTACTGTACACGTGATTTTGCTATGCCACTCTTATACGCTTCTGATGCCAGAGAATGTTCATCTTGTGTTTTACTTTTTGACATTGTACGTCATAAATACAGCCCTATGGATGGAGCACTAGAAGAGGATACTAAATTATCAGGAAGGAAATATCTTGGCTACAGAAGCAGCATGACAGTTATCAGCCAAAGTTTTTTACCTGAAAATATATACTGCAGTTTTTGCTCTAATGGAAGAACAACTCTTTATTTATCTTTTATACAGTGAGTGTTCTGGAGACAGTGTTCAACAGAGATTATAGTTTGATCACATAACTGAGGGCAGGAGGAATACCGGTGTGAAGAACAAAAATTCCAGATGGAAGCCTGTGATGAAATATTTGCTGCCAAAAAGTGAGGGGATGTTCAAAGCAAAAGTAGGAAAAGATGATGGAAGGACTTAAGATGCAAGACAAAGATCTCAGGGGGGGGTTAAGAGTCTAAGAAAAGAGACAGACCCGTATGTTCTTAATTTGACTGATTAACGTAGGACTTAAAAGTGAAGACAAGGTGTTTGGATTTGGAGTACAAAAGGATAAACCACTGGGAAAGCATTCAAGGAGAGAAACAGAAGTTAGAAGAAGGTATTAAATAGGAAGAGATTTGTTTAAACTGGAATAGGAAGACTGGATAGAAGACAAGTTGCAGATACCACAGTTGCAACTTACTACACCTGGACTGTGTCCGAGTAGCAAATAGTGAGGGAGGAGCAGGCTGTAATTACATGAAGAGTACCATGAGGCTGATGTGAAGTAAGAAGAGCAAAAATGAGCAAAAATGTTTGTGTCACTGAAGCTACAACAAGGAAGCTGGGAATCACGGAGATCTTGGTGGTGACAAGGGAGCTTGTGAGTGACAGGGTAGAAGGAAGCTCAATCTGAGGAAATAATTGAAGATTGGCAGAAAATTTCGGGACAACCTCTAAGAATCGGGTAATTTATTCTCCTAAATGCTTTGTCTAAGGAAAACGTGAATTGGTGTAGACTGAATGGCAAGGAGGCTGCCATTTATGTGACAGAGATCTTCACTAAAAACTAAGCATACTTGTTGTGCAAATGATCAGTTAGTTGATCTGCACTGAGAATTCATCAGATACCTGAGAACCTCCAAGATAATTTTTTTTCCCCCTGTAAATATAGTAAGATTTTGTATGTTTCCTTTGGGAACTGTATTGCAAGCTCCCACATGTATTTCATGACAAGACTACCAGGAGCAAGCGTAGTCCCTGCTCCTCTGATAAAAAGTATCTAAATCCCCCTGTTTTGTGATTTATATTCCTGAGTAAATAACCAGGCATGAACCCGAATCTCGCCTTTCCCCTAAGCTTGCCTTGCACCTCCTACTTGCGGCAGGCTGACTGCTCTGTGCTCAGCACAGGGGTGCTAAAATAACAGACACTTAAAATAGCCAGCAAATACCGGGCAATTACCTGGAAGCTTTTTTTTTTTTTTGCCATTGTAGCAGATGACATCGAGACACCTTGATGTATATTTGGGCAGCGGAGCTGATTTTGCCGTAGCAATGTACTGATGGGGGTTTCACTCTGCCCATTCCCCTGCGTGGCGGGCGAGTAACCAGTTATCTCAGCCCGGGTTTCGCAGACAAGGGTAGAAAATGTTGCATTACAGTTAGCAAAAACGGTCCCAGTGCAAGCCAAAGCCTGGACCTCCTCAGGCTGGTGCGCAGACTGGGTTCCCAGTTATCCTGGGATGCTGAAGGGGTCTGGAGCTCGCTTACCCGGAGCAGCGTCTCTGTTAGCTGGCGCTATACTTTGCAAGCAGAGTTTGTATTGCCTTTGTGAGGTTTTCTGGCTGGAGATCTCAAATACTAGCCCAAACAGAAGTACTGATGTACTCAAAAAACACCAACAAACAACAATACAGTCAAGGAGAGCTGTCTGCCGCGGCTGTGGCTAATGCCAGTGAGCCTGGCTCTTCCCCTCAGACTGGAGTACGGAGTCAGAAAAAACATGAAAGTGTGGATCACTGGGACTATTTCCACCGGACCTGAGAGTACAAACCACGTTTTGTCATCACCGTCTGTCCTGTGATCGTCTTTCAGCGTGTAAATGTGAGTGCTCCTTTGTGGGTGGTTCTGCTATATTTCATGCACTGCTGCAGTCACCTTTCCGGCAAGGAGGAGAGGGGCGATCTTCTTCTGAAGCGCTGGGGAGCGCGTTTGCCTGAGGCTCCTGGTCACCGCCGGCCTCCCGAGGCCTTGCTGCAGTTCTGCCTCAACCGCCCAGGGAAACTTCGCTACCTCTTAGCAAAAATTCCAGGAATTTGGCGAAATAACGTGAAAGCCATGCCGAAGGCTCAAGACGAAGGGCCCCTTCCTCACAGGGCTTCCGGAGCGCCCGTGTTTCACCGGCCAGCCCTTCCCTCCGGGCGGCCACGGCCCCCTCCCCCCCCCTCCCCC